GAAGGATAAACGTCAGTTTTCTCAGAGAAAAACGATTTTAGTAAAGTGTAAATTCTTGGTTTTATATATTAACTAGCGACCCGCCTCGGCTTCGCACGGGTGCAATGCTGATACTAAATTCAAAGTGCTATAGAGTATAGACTATAGGGATTAGGGAGATCCGCGAACTCCAACCGCCGACGCGCTATTGACAGGCACCCTCCCGCCGCCCCGGCCCGGCCGGCCTGCACCGCGGCAAACGCTACGTCCCGCAATTTTTAAATCTGTAATATCTTCGAAAATATTCATTTAGATCATATGCTGTAAAGGTATTTAATTAGATAAGAAATAATGCTGTATTGGTTAAAATCGCTTCGAAAATTAGCCATTATTTGTCGTAAAAAGTAAATGACAAAAAATGTTATAGTGGGATATTCATAAGAGATAGACGTATATACCATCGCGGAGTTTTCTGTAGACCTTTTCAATGTGTACTTAGTACATTATTTTGATAAATCTCGTAGGGTTCAGCCTGCGTTTGCAATGTAAGCGGAATTTTTTTAAATACGACATCACATTAGCAACCTCAAAAATAACAGTAATTCTCCACTATTTGATGGATGTTATTATATATACAGGGTGTCCCAAGTCGACGTCAAGTCGAAATTTTCTCATAGGTAATGTTACCACAAATTATCAGAAAAATTAAAAAAATTAAGTCATGTATTTTTGAAGTTATGGAAATTTTCCTTTTATTCCAAAAATTAACCATGTACAGTTTTTTCATTCCTGTTGTTACAAATATTTACTTTTTGCCAATTTTTTTTCTCTTACGTCATCCCGAATAGTGCTTTATGTGTTTAAAAACAGACTTTGTTTAACAAAAAAAAATTCTTATGGCCGATCTAATAAGAAAGAATGAAGTAAGTATTATACCACATTAGAATCCTTATTAAATGCGCGAACTTTTAAAGCTGCTTGCCAAACTGGAGTAGTACATTTTTTTTTCAGGACGATCAGTTGAACTAGTGCGAAAAATTAATTTTGAAAACTTGGTACGGTATAAAATGACATTTTCCTACAAGTTGGAGTGATCGCCACAGGGTTTAGGATCATAGGTTACATAAAGCACTATTCGGGATGACGTAAGAGAAAAAAAATTGGCAAAAAGTAAATATTTGTAACAACAGGAATGAAAAAACTGTCACATGGTGTAAATTTTCTGGAATAAAAGGAAAATTTCCATAACTTCAAAAATACATGACTTAATTTTTTTTTTAATTTTTCTGATAACTGGTGTGGCATTACCTATGAGAAAATTTCGACTTGACGTCGACTTTTGGGACACCCTGTATATATATAAACCTTCCTCTTCAACCACTCTATCTATTAAAAAAGCTGCATCAAAATCCGTTGCGTAGTTTTAAAGATTTGAGCATACATAGGGACAGAGAAAGCGACTTTGTTTTATACTATGTAGTGATAGTAAAATTCAAAGTAAAAAATAATAAGTGACTTAAGAGAGAGAGAGAAAGACAGAGTGACATTACCTTGACTGTAGCACAAAGATTCGGGTCGTTTTCCTTTCTTCCATGGACCGCATTTTGCCAAACAGCCGAGTAAAGATGGCTTGCAATGCGACACATCTTCCATTGGATCCGGAGGGTAGTTTAAAGAGAATTTTATCATATCACCCGATCTATAAACATATTTTCTTGTACTTTGTTAGTTGCGTATCCATGCAAGTAAATCAAAACAATTCACTAATATTCAAATATATTAAGAGGCTGCAATAATAGCTAGCAATAGTTTCAGTTTTGTTTAAATTTAATCAAAATATTTTATATATAAATCATTATTAATTTTTAGAAGTTCCATTGTTACGTCGTTCCAGCTATCCCATAGGAGTCATCGTGGCTGATCGCAATGCAGCGTACACTCCTACGCAATTTTCCTAATGTTACATCGACAACATCTAGGTTCTTGCTCGCCGCACGAATATTCCATACTCGAAGGTTCGCTAGAATCAAGAAAGAGCAATCTTTTAAAAAAAGCTTATCTACACTTATTAACATGAAAGACCCACATAAAAATGTAATACTTCGGACCTAATACTAATAATATGTTCGAATGAAGCTTTTAAAAGCATTATTACTGCGCATTAGAAATAGGTCAGTCCAGGTAATTACGAACGAAAACCATGTAATGGCATTTACGAGATGAATGTATCTATTTAAAGACTGGCAACTAGGGATGATCTATGTTATAAAACCATCGATATTGACATCGATGTCATAATCGAAAGCCCAACATCGATGTTGGGCTACATCGATAATTTTTGAATTAATAATTGACAAAGAAATAAAATACAGTGAAATGGTTAGAAATTTATCAAGAAACAGAACAAATTATTACATATTACGATAATTTTTATCAACTGACTTAATGAAAAGTAATTTTGATAAAGAAGAACCTTTTAATAAATTTCTTTGTTGATAAAGAGTAGTTAGGAAGTGTGAGAGAGAAAGAGCGAGGGAGACTATGAAGAACGAACGAAGGGAATGACCTAGGCGCAAAGAATGAATACGCATTCAAAATTTTAATAGACCTGATGATCATTGATCATCAAGCCGGTCATCCCTACTGGTAACGCTTTTGTACCTATTACCTAAGCCTCCAAACGTTGCAGGTGTCAATGGGCAGTGATTGGCACTAATTCTAAGTTGAAAAAGTAAATCAGGAATACATTCGTTAGTTCCCTTAGATTTTAGTACCTACAATCACCACGTTACTTACAATCACCACCAGTAACAAATGAGTTCATGCGTTGTGTCAGTGCAGTAAGTGTGACAGCGTCGCCCGTGGTCAGTCTAGCAGCAGCCGCTGTTCCCGTAGCAGCTCCAGCGATACAGTCCCATAACACCACGCAGCCATCGTCCCGCCCACCCAAAGATATCATGTAGCGTTCATCCGAAGAGAATGTGAGCGCTTCAACTCGTACCTAAATTGTTTAGGTATATTTCGATAGATAACAGCTGAATTTATGTTTCAAGCAGCATAGGGAAATCTGTGGCTAGTGGTTACTAACATTATAATGCTGAAAAAATTATTTGTTTTGTTCGTATTGAAAAATTTGCTTTGTGTCGGATAGTCGATTTATCGAAGAAGGCACACATCACGGCTATACCGAACGAACGCCGATGAAAAAATTATATTTTGTAAAGTAATATAAGAAAACACATAACTATATATATATATATATATCTTTAAATATATTATATTGTATATTAACAATCATCATCACATATATTCTACATCACACATCTATTTTATGTGAAACAAGGTACAGTTTTCAAAATGTTCGTACCTTATGTAGTTCGTGTGTACCAAGAAGGGTCTTCTTTTTAAAATCCCAAACTTTGGCAGATGCCTTGAAACCAATGTGGTTGATTTGACCAGACCCGATATATGTCCCCTTAGGCGATACAGCTACAGTCGACACGCTATTTGTATGGCCGCTAAGGAAATACATCTTTTTGGTTTTCCAATCTTGAATACAGACTTTATTCCCCATGGGGTACACTATATGGTCACAATCTGGATGTACTTTAAGTCCCCTTATTGCTGAACCTATATATTTTGAATAATGATTGAATGCCTTAATATGCGAAAAAGGATAAGGGAAAATTTGTTAAGTGATTACGTAAGTACCTACTTAATTCTATAACTTATTCTTGTCGCAAATTCGACACTTAGCTTACAAAATGTAAAGCGCATCGAAATTTATTTAAGTTACGTTACAATGATTTCATTATATATTACTAAAAATTAAGGCTTATTAATACTGCGGAAATGATTCAGCGTACCTATTTATTACACGCGTCGATTATTTGGAGATGTTTAAGTATAACAAAAAACATCGCTTTGAGACACAAATGAAAATCGCTTCGTTAAATATTAGCATAGGATTTGCATTTCTGTTTGTTGTATACACTTTCATAGCAATGGACTGAATAAAATCTTACCATCAAATCCTATAATTGAATATGGTTCTAAGCTTTTAACATCCATTTTAATTAATATATGTAACTACAAATTCTTTACTAAATTGTAAAAATATATATTTTAACTAATAAGTAATTCTTTTAGGCTGATTTTCTGCCTTAACAATGTTTGAAAATAGTGTGTTGCTATGGAAACAAATCAATAATAAACATTGTTGTTTATGGTGATATATTGTCTATACCATATTGTAAGTTCTACTCAAAAATAACTTTTAGTAAGATGCAGTCTTATTAGATATCTAGAGGATACTTAAGTCCTTATATATAAAATATAAAAAAACTCATATATTGGCTACTATAAAATGTTTAGTAGGGGACAAAAGCAAGAGCTGTGATTTCAGATTTTCTGTCTTATTAACCTTTAAGGTTCTATAAATTTTACTATGGTTTTTAGTAGTGTAGACTTAGTGGTTGAGTGGCGACACTCAACCCTAAGGTTGTCTTCTAACCTGGGCCCTAAACTTAAGTTAAATATGTAAAATAGGATAACTGGCATGACTTAGACCTAAAAATCGGTGAAATTAGACAGACTGTAATATGTTAAATACTTTCCTAGAGCAATGAAACAAGACCCATAATAATAAATAATATGTAATGCCTCTGGAGTATTATAATTTAGAAAATTTATAAAAAAGGGTTAAAATTATATATGGATGTTTTAAAAGTAAAATTAAACAAAATCATTAAGAAACATTATGTAAAATATTTATTACATTTTATAATTATGTTACTTAAGTAAAATTAACTATTTAAATTATGATCTAAGCTTATATTTTATTTTCAGTCACAGAGACATGAAATTTCATGATCATTCACAAAAAATTCACTTCAAACAGTTTTAATTAAAACACAAAGAAGAAACTATAGTCTCAAAGAGATATTTGAGAATTTTCAGATATATCTATATAATTATATGTACAGAATCATATTTTTAGATAGTGATTAAGTATAAAGAGGTTACTTTCGTCCTACACACCGACGTCTTACTTCTTCTTGTTTGTGAGCAATGGCTTCCTTGGCAAGATCTGCCATTCGCTTAATATCATTTATCATATATTGTTTGACTATTGACAGATACTCTGGAAGCTAAAAAAAAAAAACAATATTATAGGTATCAACTAGAAAGAGAGTATAATTGATATAATTTACGATAAAGATTGAGAGATAGGTTTCATTATTGGCTATGTGTATAATATTAACTGGAAATGACAAATATCTAAGAAATTCAAAGTTTAGTCTTCTTTTGTTATTGTTGACCGTTTATCATTCTGTAAAGAATGTTACCAAATACAAACAAAAATGATGTGGTTGATAATTACAGAAGAGTTTTCCATAATTTAGAAATCTGGAAATCTTTGGTTAAGGGACTGAAACCCTAATGAGTAAAAATATAATGCAGTTGTTATACAATATTATGTTTACAGCAGCACAAAAATTATAATGTCAAAGGAAGGAGTTTAGTAAGTTTCGAGTCCAATTTTTTAAATAAATATGCCGTCCTTCGTGAGTACGTACCAGTAAATCGTCATGCTTCTTCCCGAGTTGAACAAATGCACATCTCGCTGCGTGACTCTTATGTTCTTCCCACGGATCATCGGTCGACTCCCAACCATCCAACTCCTTACCACATAGAAAACATTTAGCAGCATCAGCATCTTTTTCTCCTGTTGCAACAGAGTAGAATCCTGCCTCTGCCATGTTACGGATGTTACACCGATTTTTGTCACTAAATGGCCAAATTTTAAATGTTTTAACTCGCTCCTCTACCATAAATAACGAAGGGTTTTCCATTTCAATTATTCTGATTACAGGATAGAAATTAGAAAAGAGATAATTTTTGTAAAAAAAATAAATGTATGAAGACAAAGAATTCGTTGTAGAATTCAAAAGTTTATGTCAATTGTTAAATTGACGTTTACTGCATTTTTTTTTTAAATAATTTTATGGCCTGGTAACGAGACCTTTAAGCCAATAAATATCATAGATGATATTTGTTATTTTGTGTCTGTTATAGTTATAGGTTCAAGTGATGCTAAATGTTTATAGAGAAGTAAATTTTGTTTTATCAATTTATAAAATATTATTATAATTTTCGTTAGAACGTTAAATTTAGATTAATTCTTAATTCTAGATTCTATAGCTGTCAAACCATTTTTTTCTGTATGAAGTTTGAAAGATCTCGAAACTAGATTTAAATTTGATTGGCGTTCTAGAATACGGGCCTATATCACTACGAGTATTGTATTCATAGTTCAATATTTTAGAAAAGTAGATAAGGGGCTTTTTAAAAATTTGTCAAAACTAACTGTCATTTTTATAAAAATTTAGTTATATACTTTCTACATGCACTACTGTTAAGGCATCGTGACTAAGCTCCAACACACCCAATATTGAATGAGATAGCAATAGTTTTAGATAAAAAAACAACAGCTGTTTTGTCACAATTTTAAGCTTTTTTATTACTTTTTGTGATAATAAATTTAAAAAAATACCTGTTAGTGCACCCAAAAAAATTTTTTTTTTAAATAAATATATTGCCTCAATTTACGAAAAATGAATATTTTATGATAAATATTTCTTATAATTACGAGCACTTGTGACTATAAAAATAGTTTACCTATGTTCAGACTTCAGTGTTAATTTTTTTGTACATTTGTCTCTATCGTTCTCAGTTCTGTGTTCATTTCAATGACCAATCACAAATCATTCATCATTCGTAGATCGTTTGCATCATTATTCATTTCACATTTTGCTCCGTGTTCGCTGTACCAGTTACCAATGTGGTTCAATTTACCTAGATACAGAAAGTAGAAACTAGAAAGTAAACATAAATTTGGTCTTTTGAAATAAAATCGTTCTCATTTTAATATTTACATATCTCGTACATAATAAAATTAAGAATATATACCTCGATACGAATAAATAAGCAATAGTTACGTTAATCGAAACAAGTGCCTGAACGTATAGAATAATTATTCTTTTGTTATTCTATTTGAAATAGTCTTTCTATAAGATTAATTAAGTGTTACGCGTTTTAACTAGTATTGCGATGGTCCGAGCTGTTTTCTAGCATTGTCCAGTGGTGTGAAACAATTTGGTAAGTGGTTTTTTAATAAAATAGACTTAAAATAATACTGTCACTCATCACTTGTTAATATGTTACCTTGAGAACATTTGGGTGGGAGGTAATTATAATTACTTTGACTCTTTATTGCATGTTTAAATTCTCCTTTTGTCTTCTACACATTCAACATAACTGTTTCCTAGTTTTTGAAAAACAAGGTAAAGGTTTTGGTAAATAAGGTAGGTAACCTTAAATGAATTTTTCATAACAAATTTAGTGTACCTATCCATAATATGTAACTAATATGCAACTACTGTGATAGCTTTGACTTATAACTTTATGTAACAATGGTGTAACATTAATTTATTTATTAAAAGCACTCCTGCCCTAACAGGCAATCCTAATTTGACAGGATTGCACAATAAGTGAATAAAATTTACTGACGTATAAAAAACAAATGTAAGGAATTAATTAGGAAAAACAAAATCACATTATTAATAATACTAGAAATGAACTAACTAGTATAGGCTCTAACAAAAAATAGAACTTTTGACAGTTCACTCAATGGACAATGCAAAAGGTCCGTTAACCTATATAATCCGTTAACTAAACTAAAACTTAGGGCACATGAAGTAACTGCGGACGATGTCGTTTTCTGATATACCCATCAGCTACATTCAAGCTTAGGTACTGAAGTACTGTCGAATTACCGTCCTTGCCATGTAACACTTTTATAAAGTATATCACAAGCGCGAATTCTCGGCGTACTCTTAGCTTATTGTAGCCCACAGAACCAAGAATAAATAAGGTTGGATACATGAGTGGGTAAAAAGAGTACACACCGTACATCCTAAGATAAATGACATAAACGGTTATGACTGCCTTGAGCTATAATAATATATATATATCAAACTCTAAATATCTTTATTCATGTAGGTAAACAAGTACACTTATGAATTGTCAAGTTAAATTAATTGTTAATTTACATTTACTACCAGTTCGCAAGTCAAGGGCGTAGAGCGGGTAATAAGAACTGGCAAGAAACTTTCCGCCACTCTTTTTAATGGTTGTCATACATTATATTTTACACTATACCCCCTTTACTAATTCTATATAAATACTTTATGTAAACAATTATTGTTATATAATTATAAAAATGAATCCAACTGTGCAAACACTTTTAGTGTAAAGTGTAGTAGTGACCTCATGCAGTACAAACCATTAAACAACCTTCCCACCAGTAGAAATAATAGCATCTGCAACTATTTCTACTGGTGGTACTAATGTATCAATAAGAGAAAGACCGTCAACCAATTCAAAATAGGTGAATTTTTGTGAGCAAGCAATAACATACATTTGTAATAGGCTGTGCCTTCTGGTTTCGCTATATGTTTCAATTTAAATCAGTAGTTCCTGAGATTTGTTTCTTAACAAAACAAAGAATCTTTTCAGCTAGATGTTTAAAGTAATAATAGTGTAGCATTTCTCATATTAATTCAGTTAAGGTCTCGTTCTCTGGAAATTCCGTAATCGCCTTATGCGACATAAAACTGGAACATCGCGAGAGGTCAGGGGATATTTCCGGGATAGGCTGGAATCGATGCGAAAAGCGCACTGCAGACCCATTTCGTATATTATTATTATCTTTACATATATTGAAGGGCATGTTGCGTTATAACTCGCTCTAGAACTCAGCCATGCAAATATGAGTCCGAGGATTCTGTTGTGATCGACTGAAGATACATAAAGGTCGGGCAATTTTTGTTTAACCCACGAAACCTCTATTGACTCCGGTTCTCGTGAAAATAATTCGTTGAAAGGATGATATTTACCCTTGATCGAATGTAGGCTGTGCTAATCAAAACCTCGTGTTGTTCCTAAAGAATTAAAATTCATACTTATTTATTTCTACTTTATTCGATTAGGATAACTCAGTAAAATTTTAAATACGTAGTGAAACCAATAAACGCTAACGAGCGCACAAAGAACCCGAATCAATAAAAAGATATAAAAAATTGTGACGAAATGAGTTAAAAATTTACTGAAAGGGGCAGAACAATAACTAAGCTACAATACCTTTGTTTGTTAAACTTTGTTTATATCGCTATTCGTAAGATACGGTAAATGTGCATAAAACCATAATAATATGATTTGGCATCAAGGTTATAGAGAGAAGCTCTACAGTTTATTAGATTAGTATACACAATACAGCGTTTTAGAAAAGTATCGTTGATCAAGAATCCTTTAAATGCGATACAGCTATTCCCCAATCAAGTGATCATTAGTCTATTGATGGCTGTAATTAGGAGCAATTGGAAACTGAGGTCAATTTATTTTCAGATTGTTCTCGAATACCTTCAGCGACACACGCGTTACACGTGACATAGAATAAGTATTTACTGGAGCTCTATCTTACTCTTTAATGCTATCTATGGTTTTTGAGTGATGACTGTTAGTTATGTATACATTTCTGAATCTAATTAAATTTATTTCCTAAAAATGCTGTTTCTCAATTGTTTCATTGAACACTATAAATAAAAATTACTGCAGTCCACACAATACTTTTTTTCTTAACTCTCAAATCATTTCATTACGATAAAAAAATTCTGCGGAGTATGAAAATTTACGCATCAGATAGCATGTTAAATGTATGAATAGGATTTTTCCACACCATGGCTGCGTCGGATAAATTAAATGATGTTTCGCTACTTTCTACTATTCTTTAACTGATAGGAGAATACTGTTTAAACAAAGTTACATTTAACTTTTTGAAAATACATAGGTTTGTTAAATATGTATATTGTCCTATTAATATAAATGAGATTAAAAATTTTCTTCGCATCTTTGTGTCCAACAAAACTCGGCTGTATTTCTGCTATTTTTTAATCACCTCTGTTGGTACAAATAAAGATAATAAGGATTACTGTTAAGTATACTTTAAATACGGTGCCACATTAGTGTGATTAAAGCCAACCCTGATGTTTTGCGTTTCTAGTACCTATATCCCATTCATTTACTTCAACAAAACTTTTGCAGACACAAAGGGTGCACAGAAATTAAAAAATAAAAGCATCGGCCGTGTTCCCACCTCCCACAGGTTTCTGGGTCAGCTATGTGATGAAATAAACCTGTCGCGTTTCGATCGTTAAGCTCTAAATAATGATTTGTGATTTCAATCAGCTAGCTTGGTGTCATTGATAGAAATAATTGCCATGGACGTATATTGGCTGCGCAATGTCAGATATAGAAAGTTCATGATCGTAGGTCGCATTATTGATTGATATTGTTTTTCGGTTACTGTTAACTATTTATTAAGTAATTTAATATTTTATTAATCACCAGTGCTATTATCGTGTACTTAATTAAATGAGTCTTAATTTAATTAGTTCATATATTTTTGACGTTGATTAGTGTACAATTAGTTACATGAATGAATATTCTGACCGCATTTCCACTAATAACCAAACATAGGTAGTCATACAAGTCATACAAATATAATTAAGGAATAGAAATAGCATAAAATTATTAGGCTCTTAAGCGCCGCGGCCAGTCGTCTATCGCAGCACGCACCATATTCATGTCGATTTCAGTGACTGCTTTTTTTAAAGATGACTTCAGACTCTCCAAATTTGTATGGGGATTATCACATACCTTCCTCTCTAAGACCTGGCAAATTTTATAGTCCAGTCGATGTTTTGACGCTCAAACCAGGCTTGACAGGCTTTGT